TTTGGACAAATTAGAAAACGTTTTGTATTTATGTTGCAAAGACAACCTAAACTAAACTAACCTAATCTTTCTAGGCCTAATATATCTGCTTGATGGGGTTCTGGGAGTTCTTCGACTCCCCAAGCCCGACCTGAGGCCAGGCGTGACTTGTCAAATATAGTACATATATGTACTGTACTATACATAAATAATACCAAATTCTATCAAGTTGCCTTTGATGTCAGTGTATGTACTATGGTGAACATAGTTACAAAGAGTACTATCTACATAGGAGGATGGGTTGCCGTGTTCAGTAGGTCTCGAGCTAAGCATTGATAGCTAAGCCAAGCCTTTCATGAGATGTATCATGGTTCAGAAATCCACCTTGCTTTCTGAGAGCTTTGACCATAGTCTGGCTCTCAGTGAGGCAGTGAGAGCTTGAGGATCATAGATCAACCCAAACCAAAGATGAGAAACCCACCAGAGAACTTAGGTGTGAAAAAGAAGCCACTGCTTGAAGGAAGTTAGGCACTCAGGTAACAAGCAAATGATCAGTGCCATAGTGTAAACACCTTAACTGTGATGCCCAGGTCATCCAGGGTCACAGCCAGCCTTCCCACTCAGACAATTATTTAGTCACAGTCTCGGCGTCACGGTACCTCTAACACGGCCCATTATCTGCTTCATGTTTAAGCTAAGTGGTTTTGGCTAATCCTGGATTAATAGTTCCAATGGGGCAGCAATTATTTGCTTTGTTATTGTGCATCTACTTCATCATTGTATTTTAACCCATAGTGTACTTGCCTAGTTATGCTTGAGGGGGTTGACCTTTTGCTCTTTGGTACCACCTCTCGCCTGTCAATCAACTGGTGCACAGATTCCTGAACCACACCACATCGTTGGTATGGATGGCATGGGAAGTTTCTTGGTTCACTTGAAGGTAATGCAGCTTACCTTGTATAACATTTTTCACTACAGTGGCACCTCCAAAATCAGGATATCATTTAAGATCTGATATGGATTTCCAAAAATATTCACTTTTGTCACCAAATTTTCTATATATTTCACTGTAAATCTAAGAATGAAAATTAACCATAGAATTTCGTTTTAAATGTATTTATTGGTTTTCTCAAGGTGCTAAACTATTTCTCCTCTCAGCTACAAAATTCTTTGAAAATGCTATCAGTGCAAAATATTGAAGAAGTTACCATTCTTGCCTTTATATTTCCTCTAACACTTTGTGAATTTCAGTGTAAAATTTTAATTTTGACTTATCCAGGACATATACCAGAAGAACCTGATTGTAAACAGATTTCACCCTCATCTTCATCATTTATCTGGATTCAAGCCCTCAAAGCTTATATTTCAAAAGCAGGGCCATGACCTGGGGGGCCTGACAGCTGAGTGGACTGCGCTCAGCATTCATAGTCCAAAGATTCCGGGTTTCGATTCCTGGTGGAGGCAGAAACAAATGGGCAGAGTTTCTTTCACCCTAATGCATCTGTTCACCTAAGAGTAAATAGGTACCTGGTAGTTAGACAGCTGATACAGGCTGCTTCCTGGGGATGTGTAACAAAAAGGAGGCCTGGTCAAGGACAGGCCACTGGGGACAGAATCATCTCAAGATAACCTCAAGATGACCCCATAATTGTGTAAATGAACCAGGCTTACCAACTTTACCACACCCAAAATTCATTCTTTAGCTCATTATTTTCTATGAAATAGCTTGGTAATTCCTTTCAGTAAATGATAGCATATTTATGGCTTCCAAACTGTTTTGAGAATAACATTCCTGACTTCTCCACTGAGCTAAATTAAATCATTCACTGAACTTAATTTAAATGTGAAATCTAGCCCATATGATTCGTTCCAAAATAGGCCCACTGACTTTCCCATGCCCATTAAAAACAGTATAAGGAGATATATGTCAGTATTTTGAACTTTTCACTCTCAAAAGGAAAAGAAGCTGTGTGATCTTGCTCAAACCAGTCCCATCATATTTCAGAATAGCATTTCTGCCACTGCCACTGACTTAAGCTCTGTCTCCACTGAATGGTAAAAATGGCACATGAATATATAAAATGAACACTTTGATGCTCTGGGCGCGCGAGCTCCGCACTACCCTCTGGTAGGGGTTTGGGCATTCCACGGGAGCGTGCGGTAATTCTGAAAAGTGTATACTCTCTTCAACTTTGTCACTTCAATTCTCGTCCTAAGGTATTCAGTTTGGTATGAATGTGTTCGCAATAGAATTTCCTAGACGAGTAAATGCATATAAACTCCAAAAGCCCGGCTTACCACCCACAGCAAACCGAGAAAGTGAGAGCGAGTTACCCGGGAGAGCACAAGAGCGATAAAATGTGTACACTCTTTTCACTTTGGTCACCTCAATTTTTGTCCTAGGTCTTTCATTTTGGTATCAATGGGTTCGCAATAGAATTCTCTAGAGGACTATATGCATATAAAATAAGCCTGGTCATGCTCCACCCGGGGACGAGTTGAAGACGGGCCATGCGTTACCCGCGAGGGAGCACCCAGTCGCCCACCCGCTACACCCCCAATTCCCGCCCACAAATGTTTAGTATTTTTTCCGGTTGCTAACATCAATTTTTGTGTTACAGCGCTCATTTTGGTATGAAAGTGTTCCTAATAGAATGCTTTAGATAAATATATGCATATAAGGGGAAATTGAAAAACAATATTGCTAATACAATACAATAAAGTAGAGACAACAATACAAACTATATAAAAAACTTATGTTAGAATAATAATTTTAACAGTAGTAATAAAAAGATTTTAATTACTACTGTTAAATTTTATATAAATTATATGCAGTATAAACCATATTAGCAAAATTACCATTTTGCTAATATGGTGTACACTGTAGGGAAGAGCAAGTATGTTTCCATCACGGGATGTTCTGAACATGTTCCTTATATCAAAAGTATTAATACTATAATGAAGAGATTGGTAGCACATTGTTGTGATGGAGTCTTAGTGCACTTTTTAATATAGATCTAGCACAAATAATTTTTTTCACTTTCTATTTAATCTTTGTGTCATAATCCTTAGTACAGTATTATGAACAGGACACGCACCTCACATAAAAATTACAATGAAACTTGAAAGTCTATAAAAGATATACATATTGTTTATATTTTCTATGCTAAGTACAGTACAATAACTTTCACTACAGCAGTAGGATATTTGAACAAGTAATTACCTAAGTGTAGTTGCAGGATGAGAGCTATGCTCATAATGCCTGTCTTCCCAGCACTCTTTATCATATAATGCTGAGAAACTACTGACGGTTTTGTCCTCCACCGCTTTCTCAGCCAATTTGTTCCAACAGTTGACAACTCTGTTTGCGAAGGCAAATTTTCTTGTACGTATTTCTTTGGCAGCTTTGTTTAGCTAGTTAAAATCAGTGACATCTTGCTCTTGAAGTTCCAGGTCTTAGGAATTCTTCCTTATCAATTTTATCGATTCCTGTTACTCTTTTGTACATAGTGATGATATCGCCTCTTTTTCTTCTATCATCTTGTTTTCTTTTATAAGGCTCTAGTAAGACTTCAAATCTTCACCAACCTACCTAGAAAACCACCACCTTGTATTTGTTTTAATAAAACCTTTGAAATCTGCCTCTTTATGCTGTCTCCACTGACGACCGTGTCCCATCCAGTATGGCCCCATCTCCCATCTTGGTTTTGATTTCGTCGGCTCTGGATTAGAGACCCTGGGACAACATTTTTCTCCGATTTATATACATTTATCACAACTATCGCCACTGTCCACATTTTATCAATGATCTCGGTATATTTATGGTATCGGGAGCACCACTTGCCTAGCCCTCCCCAGCACTATCATCCAGATATGACACAAAAATCCTGGAGTTCTCAAGCTGTGTCACAATAATGGTGAAGACCTAAGATTCTAAAGACATATACTAAACTGTGTATGTGTGTGTGTGTGTGTGTACATACTGTTCACACAGTATATTTAGAGAGATTGCTTACTCACTCACATCACAGCATCTCATGATATATACGATACTCTACTCTTGTATTGCTCAGGGTTAAAGGTTGTCTGTAAAAGGCATTCAGTGGAAGTTTACTTGGTTCATCCCCCATCCAGAACAGTGATTTACAGTCAAAATGTTCTTTGGTGACTGTAAACTATGATTACTTTGACTCCACATTATGGTTGGGTATAATGATGAGTACCATATTGGATGTATAGTCCAGTAGCCCATAGTGTATCTCTCCCTAGAGTGAGCACGTTTACACTCAACTGATTAACTTGTATCAGTTTGATGCCTCCTTGTTTAGTGCATGATAGTGACTAGAAGCAATAGGTCCACCACTCTCACACCTGGACTATGAAAGGGAATCTTGGCTATCCTCTTCTTATTCCTATTACTATCTCCTTCGGTGGTTATAATAGGAGCTGCCTCGTATGGGCCAATAGGCCTTCTGCAGTTCTCATTATTACTACTATCCCCTACACCTTACTTTCCGCCTCAGCTCTCTCTTGCCTATTTATTACCTGTCTCTACCTCCTCATCACAATTGACTTGAGAATGGTCCAGGATGGACCGAAACGTCGTCATCCCTTCAACTTTTAGTGTGTGGTCTGGTCAACAATCTTGGCTTATTCCCCTCAAAATAAATAAATATTTTCTATCACTTTTGCTTTGAGGGTTTTTCCCCGATTCCTCACTTCCTCAAGTGTGGATTGTTAGAAACAATCCTCAAGTGTGGATTGTTTCTCTCGTGGGATAATCAGACCAGCATTCTTTGGTTTGTTACAGTGTGCTTCCCTAAGTCTTGAAACTTGAAGGTCTTATAAAAGCTATTCAAGATATTTTGCAGCAGGTTACTCCATTAAGGGGGGGAAGTTTCCAGAGGGCAAAAGGTAGCAAATAAGGTTCAGTGTATGTCTAAAACTAAATTTATTACTGTATTTTTATGCCTGGTAAATTCATGATTATTTAAAGGTAATACAAGCCATTTCTCCCGCAGGTGTCAGAAACAAAGGGTGCCATTGCTTTTACTACGGGCAAGTTTCGCACTCCAAGTAGCGTTGTCTTTACTTATTGTTTATGTGTAGCTGTTAAAAGACAAGTAAGTTTGAGAATTTTAAGATGTGGATTACTTGCCTCTTGAAATATGTTTATAGTATATAAATTAGAGTACTATATATACATTCTAAAATATTTATTACACTGTATATTTTTATAGTTAAATATGTCATATAAATTGTTGGAAAATTCTTTACAAATTTATAAATTTCTTTTTAAATTAGATCATCATATATGAAATCAACCGAGCTAAAGGTCGACACAAACTGTTCCGTTCAATCTTGCTGCCCCAGCCACCTCAAAGCCTTGATATCTTAGGTGATGGACGACTTGCTGTGGGCTTCCAATCTGCCTTCACCATATATTCTATTCTTGGTGATCAACACCCCCTGTGTAAGTATGAATATGCTTCTGCTTTGTATTTGCTTCTCGTGATTCAGTACTATAATACGGTATTTATTCAAGCAACCAATGGCAGCAAAATGAATATTGATCAGTTAATTTAGTGTTTTTAAGTTATATGGTGAATAGCTGAAGAGTTAGTGAAAGTGAAAAGCCAACTAGAATAGAAGCGAAGTTTGGAACACAAGTTTAAATGTTACAACTAAAAGTTAGATGAGAGGTGCAAGTAAAATGAATGGTGTTATATGGGGCTGGGTAAGATAGACTGTAGTTAGTAGCCACGTCAGTGTTTGACGACTCGTTCTTTAAGAACAACTGATGATAGTCTTTTTCAGGCTTGGTGCCTTCTATTGATGATTACTTGAGAACCACTGAGTATTATTACCTGATATTACTCGACATGGTATCATGGTGTGTCAGTGTTGTTTGGTGTTTTTTTCACTTAGTTTAGTGCTAATTTAGTATGTGGAGGTGCTTGCCCCTGAATTTGGATATTATCATTGGCTGTCTTCTATGATCAATGACTTGTTCCTTGGTCCACTGAGCATCAAATATTTATGTGGTATATCGGCATGCATTGTTGGTATGTTCAGTTGACTTGAAGAGTACAGTACTAGTACAGTACAGTATTTGGTTTCCGCGGCACCTGAATCCAATCACATTATTTATTACTTATAATTCCCTTGTGTGCATACCCCCCTTCATATTTGACAATCAAAGAAATAATACTTCTTTTTTTTTTTATAATAAGCATGCACAGTTGTTGAAAAACAAACCATTTAATTTGTATTGTTTTGTGTGAGATACCAATCATGTTTCAACATGTTATTGTTTGTTTTTCTGGTTTCTTTTTCTCTAACAATGCGGGCTATAAAGGCACGAGCTTCTTACTACTCGTCCTTATTTAATAAATATAGTGAGGGTGAAAATAATGATCACTAGGGGCAGTAAGACTCAGTGTTGTACCCGGTGGCTCCAGAACATGCCTTGTACAGAGGTTATATTTCATACAAAAAGCTGGAGTCATCAATCCTAGGGAAGAAAGGCTTTATCAATTAATAACTCAGGGTACATACAGGGGTTTATTGCTATACAGTAGTCTTAAACTTTAGGATACATGATATATTAGGAGCTGGGTTATAATGTAATTACTGAAGTGTAATTACCTAAGTGTAGTTACAAGATGAGAGGTACACTCGTGATGTCCCATCTTCCCAGTACTCTTTGTCTTATAACGCTTTGAAACTACCGACAGTTTTGGTCTCCACCACCTTCTCACTTAGTTTGTTCTAACTGTCCACCACTGTTTGCAAACGGATACATTCTAATATTTTTACTGCACCTTTATTTCCTTAGCTTGAATCTGTGTCCTCTTGTTCGTGAAGGTGTTGGCTTTAGGAATTGTGTACACACTATTGAGACAAGGTAGAGATATTACCAAGTCCCAAAACTTGGACTCGCCTTACGATCAAATATACATATCCCAAGCTCCACCGGGTCACCATATTAGTTCACTGGAAAGGTGTACTCCTTCGATTCTATTACACAGTTATCTTTTCTATTCACCGGGACGTAGGCACTGTTGCTAACACTTCCAACACTACACGTGGCCCAGACCAACCTACACATATCCCAGGCCAACCTACACATGGCCCAGGCCAACCTACACATGGCCCAGGCCAACCTACACATGGCCCAGGCCAACCTACACATGGCCCAGGCCAACCTACACATGACCCAGGCCTACCTGGCACTAGAAGGTACTAGAAGAAAACCCAGACATAATAGCACTCACAGAAACAAAGCTAACGAAAACCTTAACAAATGCAGTGTTCCCACAGGATTATTATGTTATGAGGAAAGAGAGAGAAGGAAGAGGCAATGGTGGTGTAGCTCTGCTGGTAAGAAAGGGCTGGGATTTTGAGGAGATGGTTATTCAGGGCTGTGAAGGTTTCAGTGACTATATAACAGGTACCATAACAACTGGAGGACAAAAAATTATAGTCGTAGTCAGACATAATCCACCACCAAATGACAGAAGACCCAGACAGGAATATGATAGAAACAACATGGCCACCATTAACATAATAGAGAGAGCAGCTTCTGTTGCTAGCAGGAATGGATCTGGACTACTAATCATGGGAGACTTCAACCATGGGAAGATAGTTTGGGAGAACATAGATCCGTATGGAGGACCAGAAACATGGAGAGCTAAGCTGCTGGACGTGGCAACAAGACACTTTCTAAGCCAGCACATCAAGGAACCAACAAGAATAAGAGGAGCAGATGAACCAGTCATGCTCGATTTGATATTTACCCTAAATTGAGTGTAAATTAGTCATCATATGTGAAAATTTGCAGAGATTCTTGTCATGATGGAGCAAAAGGCCAACAATAGCCTGGTGAGTGAAATGAGTCCTGGGTGTACAATATGGGCTCCAGCTCAGGAATCATCCAAAAGACTAGTTCAACACCCAGTATTTTTTTAAATAAGATTTGAGCAAAATTGGAAATTCTACAAGAACTCTGGTGATGACAAATACTTGGTATGGCGTGTGCAGGTAGGATTCATTGCAACATCTGCATGTGTATTTGAAACACACAAGGCACATTCGGTCAGAGTAGTCAAAATGATTTTTTTTGTAAATGTTTGGTATGAAATTAAAATAGGAAATTCAGAACGTAGATGAGACACACTGGAGAGAAAGATGGAGATAAATCTTACTTTAATCAATAAGATTGAACAGTTTTGGGGAGAGGGATGAGGGGGCGGGGAGTGGAGACAAAGAAAGCACTGTATATGATAGTGTTGTAAAGGGTACTAGGTTGAATTGGCAGAACATGAGAGCAACAGTGGGTATATAGTGAATGCATTGTTGAAGAAAGAGGTAAGATAGAATAATACCAGAAGTAGTGTTGTTTATACACATTTTGAGTGTTGTGGGTGAAGAGGAATGAATACAAATGTTAATTTAATAAGCTTCATATGACATTGATTTATTTATTGTAAACAAGGGTCTTTTTTAAGATAAAATAATTTAACACATTAATATTCTGTTGAACTTTTAAAACTTACAAATCAGCTGATTTGTAAGTTTTAAGACAATCTTTAGTATTTTAAGATATGTGTACACTAAAAGCATTGGATTGTTTTGAGAATACTAATATGTTGCATTAGAGAAATTTGGAGAAAAATGTATGACAGAATTAGTTAAGCTTATAACAAAGAGCATGATTGATAGAAATGTTATTTTTAATATACTTACAGTATTTGAAATATATAATATATAATTGTTGTAATCCATCAAATCACAATTTTCTTTCTAAACAGCCTTGGTTCACCCAGATAGCCAGTCATTGGGCTTCCTCTCTATGACACAGTGTGAGGCTCTCAGTTGTATCGAGGTTACAAGGGGGGAATATCTTCTGGTGTTCAATCTTCTGGCTGTGTACGTTGATGCCTCGGGTCGCAAAAGCCGTGAAAAGGAGCTGATGTACCCTGCCATACCTACAGCTGTTGGTAAGACTTTCATCAGATCCCCTATAATTTCTTACCAACTCTCTTTCTACTGCTATTTCCAGGCAGTATCTCAAGAATGCCTTATCAAGTTCATTTGAAGCTTAAAACACTTAATTACAATCATAATGCCAATGTAATTATAATTGCACATAGAATTAATTGAGTAAATTATGTTAATACATATTGCCAAGCTAATTATGATTAGTATTAGTATGTAAAATTCTGATCATTTGCAGTGAGCAGAGTATGACCTTAATACAACCTGTCCTCCTGTTTTGGTAGTACTGCACTGGTACTTGTAGTAATGATGAGGACCATAGTAAATAAACTGACATACAATGCAATTAGAGAAGTAGAAATCTGTACTATTGAATTTGGACAAACCAGGAAAGGTTTTGTATACATGTTGCAAAGACTACCTAAACTAATCTAAACTAACCATCCTAGGCCTAATACATACCATCTGAGGCACAATATAGTACATATGTATGTTATACTAGGCATAGGAATATTTTTGTTTTTAAATGTCATTTTTTCGGACTATAAAGTGAGTAGTACAAAGTTTTCTATCTAATTGCTCAGTACATCAATATTTGTACTATGGTGCACATAGTTACACTAACTACTATCTAAACAGGAGGATGGGCTGCAAAATACTAAACTAATTAGGATCATACAATACTTAATTCTGAAGTAATTATGATCACAGATACTTTTCTGTGGGGGAGCCCCTACGGCTACCTGGACCTATCAGGCTAATGTGTATTATTTTAGACTGGGGGATTAGTCTATGGAGTTCAACTTACCAAGGACCACGAGTCAAAACCTGGACCTAGATTCAGGAAGCTCTGTGTATTTCTTCGTAAGTGGGTTTGCTACGAAGGTTCCTAAGTGCGCCCTAAGAAGAGGCTTAGGTGCGATTCAATGAGGTCCACTTAGGAAGAAATTTGTAGGTTCACCTACGTGCCGATAGAGGTCACTACTGTGTTTCGTTTGGCCAATCAGAGAGCAGCAACATTCTTCATATTGAAGATTTAGCGCTGGTTTATCGGAGCTCTACTGCCTCTTATTTACGTCGAATTTTCTTATAAAATTATTATATTTTGAAGTAAAACAATGTTTTTTCAACTTCTACAGCCAGCACCGACATTGTAGTAAACAAATATGTTACATTTGTTGTTTACCTACGTAATTCTAAGAGATACTGTGTAGCTGTTCTTGTTGCTCGGAAGATGTGCTGACAATTATTGTATATATTTACTGAATTTACCCAAGGGCCACTAACTATCTAGTGACCTCGAAGAGGACAGAAAGCCGGCGGCTTGTTAAAGGGCCCGCCAATTGTCTTAATGATATTTTTTAGCTGGAATTTGGCATTTACGGCTTCAGCGGGTAGGCGGTTCCATGGGTTTATAGCCCTCTTGGTGGAAAAAAACATCTGTTTTCAGTCCTACTTGAGAGAACATACTCTCCAACACTATATCTGTGATTGTCCTGTTATCAGTGACTTCATACCAAATGGTATGAGGTATTTTGAGCACTGTAATTACTTCATACACTCAGGAATATTGGAAGATATTCTTGTGCTGCACCAGATTTTGCCAGTGGAGGCTAATAGATCAGCATTAAGTATTTTGTTCTCAACTAATTCCATGTATGACTGGCCATCCTGTGAGGTGAGGATGTTGGATGAGCTTGTAGCTGGTTTTTGATCTACACTGTGTGGTCCTTCATACAGAATAGGGAAGCAGCACATTGCTGTGTATACCTAAACATGTTTAAAAATACATTGTTTGAGAGGAGTCTTGTAGAAACTGGTAAGAGTAATTATAATATAATGTTTCCCTGATTCAGTGCTTACCTCTTGTGAAAATTGCTTAGAGTTGTTTAGTCAGAGTTGATTTGTTTTTTGTATTGAGGCTGGTATTTTCTAAATTGATTTCATGTACAGTATGTCTAACCATTCTGTGAGATGAGAGCATTAGATAAACTTATAGCTAGTTTTTTATCTACACTGTGTAATATTCCATATAGAATAGGGTAGTAGTACATTGCTGTGTATACCTAATCTTCTTAATAAAAAAAATCAGTAATAAAGATTTTAAATTATAGTTTGTATTATTACAAATTCAGTACTGTATTATCCTTATCAAATCATGTTGACCATGGATCATTAAGATCTCATGTTGATATGTAATAGTCATATTTCTTTGGAACTGCTAATCCATGCTAATCATTCATTAAATTGTGCATTGTGTTTCAATTTTTCACTTCCTTGGATATACTGTACAGTACAAAAAGATAGGATAAAAATAAACCAGTAATATTTCTTTCATTATATTTTTCATTTAAATAACTGCATCAATATTTTTACAGCTGACAGGATTTGTTTTACCATACAGGTGCATTATTTGTTAAAAAAAAATTTGGTTTATTGTTACACACAATGGTGCTACATAGCCTTCCCAGCTTGGTGCCTTCTTTTAATACTTACTGATTAAAAAATAAATAATAAATACATTTTATTCAGGAAAAGTACATACAGTTGATGTACAAACATAATGTTGGATTTATAGACAGAGCTAGTACATACAATACCTAAAGCCACTAATACTCATAGCATTTCGGGCAAGGTGTGGGGGAAAAAACACTTAGACTAAAACTTAATAGTAATCAGGATTAGGTATAAATTGTGTTGAAAGAAGGAATAAAAAATACAAAAAGGGGAGTTAACATAGCATAAATCAGCAATTGCACATGTTGGTGAACAGCGTTGTTTAAAAAACAGCAACACATGGGTTGACATTTAGGAGGTAAGTTAGGTTACATGGAGTTAATTAGGCAGTACTTGGTTTAACTCTTAAACTGGTTGAGAGAGGTACAGCCTTTGACATGATTCGGGAGGTCATTCCACATTCTGGGTCCCTTGATTTGTAGAGCACTTCTAGTTTGGTTACACACAGCCAAATTGAGTAACAGGAAGAGGTCTTGGATACAAATTTGTTCCATGCTAAATGTAGAGGAATCAGCTGAGTATTCCTCAAATAAAATAAGTTGCCTCAGCTTATAAGGTAAATAAAATAAGCATTTCTCAAATAAGTAGCTGCCTCACCTCACTGCTTTACTGCTACATAGCCTTCCCGGCATGGTACCTTCTTTTGATAATTTCTTGTTCCACACCCAAATTGTATAACAGGAAGAGGTTTTGGACCCCTACTTCCCTCTCTCTCTTTTAATAATCTATATAGTCATAATTATAGCTTTAAGTATTCAATGAATAAAGTTTGTGACATTTTTACCCTTCTCCTTACCTAACATCATTTGTGCAGCATATTTTTATTTTATGTCTCACCCAGATTTAATTTCAAAATAAAACCAAACTAAATAAATTAGAAATGGGTATATATAGCTAAGGTACACCCTTACTACTAGGTGAACAGGGGCATTTGGTGATAGTAAATGATCCCATCAGGCAGGGCTCATCACCTTCTCTCATATTTCATGTTCACCAGTGTTTATTTACTTAATAACTACTGGTATAATATCTTGCTATTATAAAACTAATTCTACTATCATCAAACACATATTTACTTTTTTTTATTTACAAAGTTTCAAGCAGAGAATGCATATATAACTAACACGAAGGACTCCTCTTCACTAGATTCACCAGCTATAATATTTTGGTCATGTTCCAATATCATAAATTGATCCCAGTGTTATGTATTAGAGAAAAAATGATATATCCAGTTTACGTAAAGCTACGAGTGGTCGAAACCACACTTAAATCCCGGAATGAACTTACGAAGGTTTTTCCACTTAGGGTACCTACTTGAATACGGACGTAGCCGCCACGAAGGCGCTAAGAGGGAAAACGTTCTTAGCTAAGACGAAAAACCTTCGTAAGTACCTTCCTGAATCCGGCCCCTGGCCCTTTCAGAGAGGTTTCAGGGAACATAAGAACAAAGGCAACTGCAGAAGGCCTATTGGCCCATACGAGGCAGCTCCTATTTATAACCACCCAATCCCATTCATATACTTGTCCAACCTGCACTTGAAACAATGGAGGGACCCCACCTCCACCACGTTACGCGGTAATTGGTTCCACAAATCAACAACCCTGTTACTGAACCAGTATTTACCCAAGGGAGCAATAGCCCTGGAAGCCTCCCCTGTGGTTGGTGTTTTCCTTATCTGCTATCGACCGGGGTTAGGCACCCAGAAAGGTAGGCATAACAAAACAAACCCACATGACACTACACACACAAATCACATTAACGTGATGCATCAAATGAACAAATCTTCAAAGACCGTGACGAGGAGGATTCAAACCTGCGTCTAGGAGCATCCCAGACACTGCCTTAATCGACTGAGCTACGACATGGTTAAAAGAGTTGAAACTGAAGTTCTACTGAACTTACTGGATCCTGCAGCCTCTCCGAGGCGCAAACCAGGGTTTTACATGACTCCCGCCTGCTTTGTTGCCACATTTGCTAGCATAAATTCGGCTCTCTTGCATCACCACATTCGGCTCCACATTTGCTGGCATGAATTCGACTCCCTTGAATGTCTTGGGCTGCCATTCGGGCGTGGGGATTTTGAAGGTCGAACAGGGTCCTGGCCACCCATTCTGTGGTAAACGTTCCTGGTCTTGGATGTTCGTGTGTTACTTTGGGTCTCAGGTTGCAGTTGGTTGTCTCGACTTCAAGTTGAGAAGTGCATGGCGGTTGCCTCCCGGGTGGGTCCCTTTTTTACTTATCTTGGGTATGTAGCTCCAGGGAGCTTAAGGGGCTTCCTACAGAAAACCAGAGTTGATTGTAATGAAACGTCATTTTCTGGGTGAGCCCCCAGAGGCTCTCTGGCACCCTCCCTTCCTCTGGTCGGCAGTTTCATGTTGTATCGCATGCTTAGCCTCTGAACTGGTATTGCGTAGCCGGCATGATGGGTCCGGGGGCTCTCCCTTTCCTATGGTGGGGAGAGCTGCGCGGATAAGTGGCGTGGTGACAGTGTATGACGTTTGCTTGTTTCCTTGAGAATCGGGAAAGTTCTGCCTCCCTGTTCAGTCTTAAGTTGCAATTTTCTTACCAAGTGGGATGTGTTTTGTTATTCCTACCTTTCTGGGTGCCTAACCCCAGTCGATGGCAGATTAGGAATACCCCCAACCACAGGGGGGGGGGGGTTCCAAAGGACATTGCTCCCTTTGCCTCTCTGAGAGGAGAGGGGGGGGGGGTCAAGTTCTGGCTCATGGTTCCCGGTAGGCTGAGCTCCATTGACTAAAGCCCTGGTCTAATGTATTACATATTAGCCTGATAGTTCCCATGGAGCCTCTGTGGCTTTACCAGAAAATGGCATTTCATTACATTCAACACTGGTTTTTTGGCTCCTTAGAAGTAACTTTTTTCAAACCTAAGCCACTTTTGGTTTCACAAAAACAATCTGAAAATGGTTTCAACCATTTTAATTTAAATATTACAAAGTTTCTTGTAGTTTACATAATATGAGGATATGTTTTTTTCAGCGGTCTGTGATGGGCTTTTACTTGTCTACAGTGATATTCACATAGATGTTTTTGACGTGTTATCTGGAGACTGGGTTCAGACCATCAACCTTAAGCGCACCAAACCTCTAATGCGCACTGGTATCCTCAACATGGTCATGATTAGTGACCTGCCACATGTAGCCTACCTCAGGAACTTGCACAAAGGTGAGAATAGAATTCATCGTGTGTGTACATAATGTAAGTTTACACATGTTGTGGGTTACTGTCAGGAGAGGAGAATTAAACAATGTGAATTTTGCCGAGATAATAACTTGTGGTTGTAAAGCAAAGAAATTTGATAGAGATTTGGGTAGAAGTTAAGAAATGTTAGCAAATTTATTATTAAGATTGGCTCATTGTGTATTAGGCATATGCTCTCTCAAAATGCTTAAACCCCATTGAAAATTGCACAAAAATCAATGGGAAAGGGATTAATGGGATTGTTTCCATGTTCATTCACCATGCAGCAAACAACTCTTATTTCAAATGTAGTAATTAGTAAGTATAGTAATTAGGGGTGGTAAAATATATGTATTATATATGTCTAGTATTTTTTCCGATATGTGGCAACATTCCCTCACCCCGTTACCAAACATGGTGTAATAAGGAAAGATTTAAGTTACATTTAAAACAAAATTTTGCTAAATGTATACAGTATCTGTAAGATAATGTTTGATCAGAGTTGAAGGCCAGATGCTTGTAGGTAGCCTCGTGCACGTTTGCATGGGGATTTGAGATTGTATTATAGGGTGGAGTTGACTCCCATACACATCATTGAGAAATATTTGCCTCTATTCCAAATTCCAGCAACATTGAATCACCGGTACTCGAGCATTATTTGCTCAAGGTGAGTAAGACAGAGAAAATGGGGGGGGGGGAGATAAGGGGAAGAGGTAATGAGAACGGGGGAAGAGGTAATGAGAACGGGGGTAAGGGAGAACAGGAGAGGCGAGTGGGAATGGAAAGGGAGGAAGGGAAGGATAGATAATGAAAGTGAGAGAGCATGGGAGGGAGATGGGTAGACACAGTGGGAGGGTAAGGAGATAGAATGAAAGAGAAAAAACAGAAGGGGGAGAGGTAGAGAAATGCCCAACCCACAAACCTCAAAATAAACGAAGTGACGATGTTTCAGTCAATTTTGGACTCTTATAAAGTGATACAGTGGCAATTTCAACTTGCACAGAGTTGCACAAATGTTTCAAACATTTATTATGAATATATTTATAAGATAAAAATCAAAATTCAAACAGTGTACTTGAGCGAGACTGGATCTTCCCCCACTCTTACAATGACTTTATTCCTTAATTGTTAAATACTACTACTTCCGCAACAGTAATTTATAGCAGGATGTTATCTTTGCTGCCGCATATCAGTTAATTATCCAGTCAGAACATGGAGTAAGACCTACTAAGATCTCAATTTTATAAGATAAAATACTTTGTGAAAACCTGAACTTTGGTTTGGCCTTGCCTTCCCAGTCATACAGTTGAATTAATACTACTCAAACTTTCATAGTTGCTTAAATGTTTTTAAATTCCATCACACTTTAGTTGCCAAGAGTCATAGATTAAGATAAGACAGTTTGGTATATGTAACAGGCTAAATGTTTTGCACTATAAATTTTATTGAACTAATTGTTCAAGAAAATTGAAGAATTGAACTATTGTATTATTTTATTGAACTATTGTATTATTTTTTATTGAACTAATTGTTCAATAAAATTGAAGAATTGAACTATTGTATTATTAAAATTGAACTATTGTATTATTCATGTTGCAGAGGAAATTGTGAGAACGGGTTTAGATTCCAATGGTCGGCCAAAGTCTAGAAGAAAATTCTCAATGCGGGAAAACAGTAAAACCACTCGCACGTAAGTATTATTTGTTGCTAGTACACTAGTAAGGGTTTAGCTATGTGCACTGTAAAGTTACAAATTTTGAATGGAATGTTTAAGAGAGTGTTTAAAGTGTTAGTCTTGCAGATAGGGTTTTGAAAACTCTGTGTGGGAAACAACACCACAGGAAAAGTGTGGTGTTGGGATCTCTGGAGACGTGTATGAACAGAGACAACTTACCACTACTTGAGTATTAATGATTTTTTCTTTATGAAGGAAATTATTGTTTTTGGAAATTATGCAGAAATTACACAGAATTGGTATGTTATAAGGTCAGTTTTTTTTATAATATAGGTATTAGTATACTGTACAGTATTTGAGAGAAGCATAGTAATTTCACTCTTGCTCTCTTCTACATTTGGAATCTTTGATTTTTTCATTTTTTTACTGATATTGATGCTGTTTGACAATAAATTATAAAAGATTTTATGAATATAGGTACAGTATTTGTAGTTTTAATTTTAACATTATATTACATTAATGTTATAGTTAATGTAATCCTGGTAATTAGGTTGGTTCACCTAAGTTGCCAATGAAAATACTATAGAAATTATAAGGGGTTCCCATACCTCATTGATGAGTCTTGTCTTTGGATACACTTAAACTGAAGTTCTTGAGGGTGGACTGCTCCATTGTCTCCATCTTGTACAGCAGTAAATACTTTTGCATTCTTTGTCTCTTTTTATGTTTCCTCACATGGTTCTTCCCATCTACTTTCACACATAAATGTACTGACCTAGGACAGTCTTCATTGTTGATGAGTTTTATCTCTCGGTGCAAGCAACCTTACCTTGCGATTACCTTATGATGATTTTGGGGCTTAGCATCCCCGTGGCCCGGTCCTCGACCAAACAAGACTTCACTCTTGAGGTAACTAACCCAGTATGTAAAATTCTTGGCCAGACTTTTCACTTGGTGCTTCAAAAGTTATTAACACTTGAAGGCATTTAAATTAGGTTAAGATTCTGCAAGTGGCTTGCCTTAGGGATGGGAGTTTCCATAAGGCATCAAAAAGTATAAATGAATAGTTAAAGGTTCAATTGTTAATATCTCGTAATTATTTCAACAAAACTATTGTCATTGTGTTCAATGTATGAAAAAGTTAGAAGCAGCATCAGAGTAGCTTGACTTTTGAGTGCTTTGTTAAGAAAGTATGAAGTTGTTTTGATTTATTTCAGGTGTTTTTCTTATTTTTAAATTGTCATCTAAATAACGAATCAAACTATACCATTACATAGTGATAAAAAAAAAAAGAGGCATGAAGACTGGAACTGTACATCTTGTTATATGCCTTGTCTTGGAGATTTGCTTGGTAATTACTTTACTTTTTAATAGTTAAATTTTCATTTTCACTTATTATATGTGATGTTTTGGGTGTTGAAGATAATAGCAGAGAAGGCCTTGTATATAAAATTATTAGATTTTTCTGGGGGAGTCCTTGCGGCTCCCTGGAGCTTACTAGGCTGATATGCTAATGTCAGACTTTGACATCAGTCATATGTATGGAGTTCTGTGGGCCTACCGGGGACCATGAGCCAGAACCTGGCCCCCTCAGAGAGGCATGGGAAGCAATGGCCTATAGAAACCCCTGTGTGGTTGGAAGCATTCTATGTCTGCCATCGACCAGGTCAGGCACCCAGAAAGGTAAGCATTCTAAAACAAACTCCTATTCTGGTGAGTTTGAATAGGAGTTTGTTAATATTGCTACCAATGGCCAAACAAGTGGATAGAATGCCCCTAAAAGAATCGACCAAACAAGCATGATGTCACACGTTGCTGTCTGCGCAGCTCCCCCCTCCCCGAGAGGGGGAAGGTGGAGCCCCAGACCCCTCGTGCCGGCTATCCACCCTTCAGTTCCAAGGCTGATACTAGAGGCTGAGGTCATGTGCTCTGGTTCCAGTGGTTGTTTCAGCACTGTACCTAGTGTGCGGTGATTGTCTTCTAGGTGGTGCATGACCCGGGAGTGATTCTCCAGTACTCGGGCTGCATGCGCCTAGGGTTTCCTTCCCTAGGTGCCCTGTAAGTACTGCCCTTGGGGCTTGGGGCCACCTTCCACAAGTTTCTTGGGTTCTGCTTCTGCTAGGCCGTTTACTGCTTGGTTTGTGGCTGCCCTTTGTGTGCTAGAGTGTTCTGTCTTCCTTGTTTGCCTTAGGGTAGGGGGCAGTTTGCACTGGTAGGGGCGCAGATTACTGCGCAGCTTGTTTTCACCAATCATAGCGGCTGGCTCTGTTCCGCCTGGGTATGTTGTCCTCTTGCAGGGTTTTCTTTTTCTTTTTGTTTGTCTGCCTTGGGGGGTGGGGTCTGCCTTGGTTCTTGACCCCCGTGTACTGAGTACTCTTCTCTATTCCAGTGGTTCCCCCACCTTGGTCCTCGTGAGTGTACACGTCTTGGGGATTCAGTTCTTAGAAAGTTGTTTGGTATACTTGGGCGCCGGTTAGCAGTACCCTGCCTGGGCTTCCCTGAGCGTGAGTTCCGTTTCAGGACCCTGGGAAACTCCACGGGGACGTGCGGGTCCAATGAATGTGACCCCGGAGTTCCCCCATCCCCTTCGCTTTGTGCGAGTTCAAGGGTTGCTCTATCCCCATGTCTCAGGGTGACTCTCATTGTTTTTGCCTTCGTCTGCTGCCTGTGGGATCGGTGGCACCTTCGACCCGGAGCCCAGCGAGTTTTGTTGCTTGTTTATAGCTTGATTACCCAGTCTTCTGCTGACTTATGTGGGTGCAGGCAGCATGGGCGTTGCACGTTGAGTTTCGGTGGTGGCAACGCGCTAGGTTGTTTGCTTCCCAGAAGCCCCGAAGCTGCCATGTTTTTGATTGGTGTGACGGGGCTTGGGGGTGTTGGTTGCTTTGGTTTTGTTTCCTTCTGTGTCCCCTTGTCTTTCCCTCGGGGGCCCTCGTAGCCTGGTGGATAGCGCGCAGGACTCGTAATTCTGTGGCGCGGGTTTGATTCTCGCACGAGGCAAAAACAAATGGGCAAAGTTTCTTTCACCCTGAATGCCCTTGTTACCTAGCAGTAAATAGGTACCTGGGAGTTAGTCAGCTGTCACGGGCTGCTTTCTGGGGGTGGAGGACCGGGCCGCGGGGACACTAAAGCCCCGAGATCATCTCAAGATAACCTCAAGATAGATTCCCCTGTTGTGGTCTAGTCTGGTGCCCCCTTCCTCCCTACATCTGGATCCTTACTGTTTGTGGGTTCGGGGTCGGGGCGGGGCTTCGATTGTCTTGAGACTCAGGCAGTCTCGCGGATTTCCCCTTCCGGGGTAGCGACGGAGGCATTCGAGCTTGTTCCTCCAGCCGTGTTGCACGAGTCTGCCAGTGGGCGTGCTTTTCCGGCTGCCCCGGCTTTTTCTTGTGAAGTTGGGGCTTTGGGGGGAGGGGTCAACCCCGGGGCCTGATGTGTGGGTTCCCGGGGCTGGTGAGGGGCTGACTTGGGGGGCCTCACGCCCCCGTTGGATCCCGCTGGGGTTTTTCTACCCTCTGGGCAAGCTTGTGGTTACAAGGAGTGGGTTTTTTCTTCCTTCCTTTCCGTATGAGTTGTTGGGCGTCGGCCCCTCCCCGGGTTCAGTTCCTTGTCCCCTGGATCCGTCGGTTCCGTCCTGTTGGTGGGTATTTTTCTCCGTTTTTCCACTTTTCTTGGGATGGACCTTCGCCATCATGTTCCCCTCTTCTCAGGGTTCTGCATGACTTTTGGTCTCGGGTGCGACTGTGCCTTTATGTGCCTTTATGCTTTACGCTTGCTTCTATAGGTTTTCGAAGGTTCGGGAAGGTTTTTTGCTTCTTCCCATATTATTGGAACGTCTGTCGTCTTCCAGTGTGGCTTCCCTCCAGTCCTTTATAGGGCCTGTTGGTCCTTCTTTGTGTTTCTTCTCAGGTTTCGGTCCTGTTTCGTTCTTCGTAATTGTATCTTCTCTCCGTGCTCTGTCTCGGCACTGCTCATTTTCTTCCATATTCCTTGTTGGCGCCTTCCTGCTGAGTGGGTTGTGCAGTTCAGACCTCCTGTCCTGCACTGCAGGGTTGCCAGATTGGGCTCCTTGTAGCCCGATTGGGCTACTTGTAGCCTGCATGAAGAACTATGCTATGTATGTTTCGCTACTTACTGCTGTTTTCGCCTGCTGTTCACAGCTGACCTGTGTACTCTGAAAAGGGACTCAATTGTTACCAACAATATTTTATGGTCACATTCGTGATTTTGGTTTCTTCAGCTCGCGACTTCTAGCGAACCAAATCTGGCATCCCTGTGACTGCGCATAGGCCGTGGTAGTTTGTTTTGATATGGGCGGTGTGCATGTGTGCTGGTGTTCTGCATCCATTTTTCTCAGGTGCTTCGCCTCTCGCTCCTCTCACTTCTCCAGTCCGTGCTCCGTTGCTACTGGGGGTGTTCTGGATTGTTGCTATGGGGAGGACGCAGGGTTTTCCCTGCGTATAGGTGTGGGGCGCCTCCTTCGCCTTTACCCTACTCTTCTCCTGCGTGTGTGGCTTTGCCGTCTTCCACTGGCGGTGCTCCCGGCATCTTCTCGGCTACGTTATGTCGTGACACGTTTGTGCCTAAGTTCTGCAGGGGAGTTTATGGGGTCTGGCGTCTCTTTCGGCCAGGCGCTGGTTCGTGGTTTTTGGATACGAATATATGGACTTCGGAACACAGGTGACTGCAGCAGACCTATTGGGCCATACATGGCGGCTCCTATTATGCCCATCCAGTCCCACTCTTATGCATGTCCAGCCCATGCTTGAGTCTAGCAAGGGGCCCCACCTCCACCAGGTTATGAGGTACAGTGGTGGGGAGTATGTTATGGGGTAAATGTTCCTGTGTCAGGATGTTATGTGGTGACGTTTTGCTGCAGTTTTCTTACTGTGGATGGGTGTTAGGAATTGGTTGTGGTGTTTTGTTTGGCCCTTCTGTGCTTTTTTCTGGGGCCTTCCTTGTTCGTCTGGGTTATTGTTGCAAGGGGGGTCATGGCCCCGTGTTTCGTGGTCTTG